CCCCCCCCCCCCCCCGGTTTCTATATATTTATATTCAGCTTATTAGCTACCGTAGACAAACTCTTTCAAAATAGAATAAATAACAATAAAAATGGTAATTTAAAAAGTGACACCTAAAGGGTAGAGGGGGGGGTGAGGGGGGAGGGGGAGGAGCAGACTAAAAAAAAAGGTGATGAAATAGTAATATATTTAAAAAAAAATATTGAAAAATAAAAATTGTATTTCATTGCAAAGTTACCTAACTCTGGAATGATTCCTTTAAAGTATATTTGAGCTCTTATAACGAACTTCAGAGCTGCAAGCTGAACACACGCACACCCACCCACACACACACCCCCCCCCCACACACACACACACACACACATCCAATCAGTGTTTATTTAGATCATCGAAATAAACATCTTAACTTTTTTTTTATTCTAAAAGATGCACCAATACAAATGTCTACGTAATGAGCGGTCTATTTTCATTAGTTAAGATGCCAAAGGCGATTCAAAAGATAATGGGCCCAGCAAAAACCTAATTTTAAGACCCCCTTTTTTAACGCCAGCTAAAAATCCACCAAAGCCATCTTTTTTATTCCTCATCGAAGTCCAGTAGCTTTGTCCTATCACGAATGCAACGTCCCCACCCCCACTTGACCAATAACTTGACCATTGACAGGCAGGGCCACACGCCTGCTACACCCGGACTAGATTTCAGTCAGCGCCACAGACCGCCAACTGCGCCCACTCTATTAAATGATCACGTGACCAAAAGCCTCAATCATTCACCTCTTTCGGTTATTGATTTCTCCTCGATATCCACTGACTTGCGGCCCAATATCCTTGCCAGTTGTGAAGACCCTCCCCCCCCCCCCCCCCCNCGTAGACCGAGCGACGCGCTCGTAAGGTAACTGTGTTAAAGTTTAATCTTCCAAGATAATAATTGACGGACTGCCTCCAAGTTGTGTAAATAAATAATAGAACAAGGTATGTTAACCTTGAATTAATAGACAGACCAATAAGATTTGGACGTTTCGGGTTAGAACCTTACTTAGCAAAAAAGACAAAAAGAAGTAGGACAAGTAACAGTAAAAAAAAAAAAAAAAAAAACTTTAGAGATTTCCTTTTGTTACCAGGAGTTTAACATACCTTGTTTTTATATTTAATCTTCCAAGTGAGTTAAATGTCATGTATAAGGAAAATACAACTCTCAATGTGTTTCTTCGTTTGTTTTGAGTTACCCAGGGTGTTGTGGACATACTTTTCTTTGCAGTACCCATTGTTAGGATCATTCACATCTCTCAAGGATTATCGTGTATGTTGGAACAGCAGAAGAGTGCTAAGTCTTTCACAGTGTAGATGGTACTAACACAATGTGTTTTAGTGCTACAGGGAGTAGACATCACTTTGTAACATAATCTGTTTTAGTGCTACTGGGAGTAGATATCACTTTGTAACAAAATCTGTTTTAGTGCTACTGGGAGTAGATATCACTTTGCAGCATAATCTCTTTTAGTGCTGCAGGAAGTAGATATCAATTTGTAACATAATCTGTTTTAGTGCTACAGTGAGTAGATATCACTTTGTAACATAATCTGTTTTAGTGCTACAGGGAGTAGATATCACTTTGTAACATAATCTGTTTTAGTGCTAAAGGGAGTAGATATCGATTTGTAGCATAATCTGTTTTAGTGCTACGGGGAGTAGATATCACTTTGTAACATAATCTGTTTTAGTGCTACAGGGAGTAGATATCACTTTGTAACATAATCTGTTTTAGTGCTACAGGGAGTAGATGCACTTTGTAACATAATCTGTTTTAGTTCTACAGGGAGTAGATATCAATTTGTAACATAATCTGTTTTAGTGCTACAGGGAGTAGATGCACTTTGTAACATAATCTGTTTTAGTGCTACAGGGATTAGATATCACTTTGTAACATAATCTGTTTTAGTTCTACAGGGAGTAGATATCACTTTGTAACATAATCTGTTTTAGTGCTAAAGGGAGTAGATATCAATTTGTAGCATAATCTGTTTTAGTGCTACAGGGAGTAGATATCACTTTGTAACATAATCTGTTTTAGTGCTACAGGGAGTAGATATCACTTTGTAACATAATCTGTTTTAGTGCTATGGGGAGTAGATATCACTTTGTAACATAATCTGTTTTAGTGCTACAGGGAGTAGATATCACTTTGTAACATAATCTGTTTTAGTGCTACAAGGAGTAGATATCACTTTGTAACATAATCTGTTTTAGTTCTACAGGGAGTAGATATCACTTTGCAACATAATCTGTTTTAGTTCTACAGGGAGTAGATGCACTTTGTAACATAATCTGTTTTAGTGCTACAGGGAGTAGATATCACTTTGTAACATAATCTGTTTTAGTTCTACAGGGAGTAGATATCACTTTGTAACATAATCTGTTTTAGTGCTACAGGGAGTAGATATCACTTTGTAACATAATCTGTTTTAGTGCTACAGGGAGTAGATAGCACTTTGTAACATAATCTGTTTTAGAGCTACTGGGAGTAGATATCACTTTGTAACATAATCTGTTTTAGTGCTACAGTGAGTAGATATCACTTTGTAACATAATCTGTTTTAGTGCTACAGGAAGTAGACATCACTTTGTAACATAATCTGTTTTAAATCCCACGTGAATTATGTAAACCACAATGACGCAGGGATACTCTCGATAGAGGCTTATCTGTGAGGGTCCGCATGATACCCAGGATAGAGGCTTATCTGTGAGGGTCCGCATGATACCCAGGATAGAGGCTTATCTGTGAGGATCCGCATGATACCCAGGATAGAGGCTTATCTGTGAGGGTCCGCATGATACCCAGGATAGAGGCTTATCTGTGAGGGTCCGCATGATACCCAGGATAGAGGCTTATCTGTGAGGGTCCACATGATACCCAGGATAGAGGCTTATCTGTGAGGGTCCGCATGATACCCAGGATAGAGGCTTATCTGTGAGGGTCCGCATGATACCCAAGACAGAGGCTTATCTGCTAGGGTTCCTCAAATGGTTACATATGGGGATCTATGTCATAATAAATTTTAATTGTTACCGGAGATTTGAAATACATTTTTTTTGGAAGGAATATAGCTTTTCGTAAGTTAGTTCAAATTGAAATTTGTTAGAACTGGGAAAACAACAGCAAAAATAAATTTTATTTAAAAAGTTTACATTTTCCCCACTGTGGCAGTTCCGTCCATAGAAATTGTTTTGGTACATATTTCCCAATACATAATTTTAAACCATTAGTTCTTGTTACCACGCATGGGCCCACGTCGGTGTATTTGTTAGAATCTTAAGGAAAAAATATGGAAACGCTTCTGTGTTTTAAGTGTGTGTTTAAAGTGTGTTTTAAGTGTATCTTTCTAGTCTTTTTAAGGGTATGTTTTAAATGTGTTTTAGGGTATGTTTTCAATGTGTTTTAAGGGTATTTTTAAAATGTGTTTTTAAGGGTATGTTTTAAATGTGTTTTTAAGGGTATGTTTTAAATTTGTTTTAAGGGTATTTTTAAAATGTGTTTTTAAGGGTATGTTTTAAATGTGTTTTTAAGGGTATGTTTTAAATGTGTTTTTAAGGGTATGTTTTAAATGTGTTTTTAAGGTTATGTTTTAAATGTGTTTTAAGGTTATGTTTTAAATGTGTTTTAAGGGTATGTTTTAAATGTGTTTTAGGGTATGTTTTAAATGTGTTTTAAGGGTATGTTTTAAATGTGTTTTAAGGGTATGTTTTAAATGTCTTTTAAGAGTATGTTTTAAATGTGTTTTAAGGGTATTTTTAAAATGTGTTTTTAGGTTATGTTTTAAACGTGTTTTTAAGGGTATGTTTTAAATGTGTTTTAAGGGTATGTTTTAAATGTGTTTTAAGGGTATGTTTTAAATGTGTTTTAAGGGTATGTTTTGAATGTGTTTTTAAGGGTATGTTTTAAACGTGTTGTTAAGGGTATGTTTTAAATGTGTTTTAAGGGTATGTTTTAAATGTGTTTTAAGGGTATGTTTTAAACGTGTTGTTAAGGGTATGTTTTAAATGTGTTTTAAGGGTATGTTTTAAATGTGTTTTTAAGGGTATGTTTTAAACGTGTTGTTAAGGGTATGTTTTAAATTAGTTTTAAGGGTATGTTTTAAATGTGTTTTAAGGGTATTTTTAAAATGTGTTTTTAGGTTGTTTTAAACGTGTTTTTAAGGTTATGTTTTAAATGTGTTTTTAAGGTTATGTTTTAAATGTGTTTTAAGGGTATGTTTTAAATGTGTTTTAAGGGTATGTTTTGAATGTGTTTTTAAGGGTATGTTTTAAACGTGTTGTTAAGGGTATTTTTTAAATGTGTTTTAAGGGTATGTTTTAAATGTGTTTTAAGGGTATGTTTTAAATTAGTTTTAAGGGTATGTTTTAAATGTGTTTTAAGGGTATGTTTTAAATGTGTTTTAAGGGTATGTTTTAAATGTGTTTTAAGGGTATGTTTTAAATGTGTTTTAAGGGTATGTTTTAAATGTGTTTTAAGGGTATGTTTTAAATGTGTTTTTAAGATATGTTTTATATGTGTTTTTAAGGGTATGTTTTAAATGTGTTTTTTAGCTTATGTTTTAATTGTGTTTTTAAGGGTATGTTTTAAATGTGTTTTTTAGCTTATGTTTTAAATGTGTTTTTAAGGGTATGTTTTAAATGTGTTTTGAGAGTATGTTTAAAGTTTGTGCATTAAGGGTATGTTTTTTTGAATTTGAGTAAAACACATTTTTTGTTAATAAAACAGACGGAGTTACCAACTTTTAGTTACCTTTGTAGGTTACCCACTCTTTGTTTACCTTGAATGTTAGTTTGTAATTGTTCATCAATGTGTATTTCTCTTCTTGATCAAATCTGCACTATATAAATTTAAAAACAAAATTGTATATTGTCCTTAAATCAATCGCATGTTAACTTCCGCATTCAAATACAGGTTGCCTGGTTGTTAAATCCAATAAAATTTACAATATGGCGTCTTATGTGTATATGATTTATGAAATTATCCACTCAATCATATTTAAAGCGCTGAAAATATACATTGTATCTGTTTTGTGATTCACTCGAAATGGTGACACCAAATAGTCCCAGCGAATATTGACATGAAATAGTGACAGCCAATATTGACATCAAATAATGACAGCCAATATTGACATCAAACAGTGTCAGCCAATATTGACATCAAATAGTGTCAGCCAATATTGACATCAAACAGTGTCAGCCAATATTGACATCAAATAGTGACCTCCAATATTTAAATCAATTAGTGACAGCTTATATTGACACCAAATTAGTGAAAGCAGATATTGACATCAAATAGTGACAGCCAATATGGACATCAAATAGTGTCAGCCAATATTGACACCAAATTAGTGAAAGCAGATATTGACATCAAATAGTGACAGCCAATATGGACATCAAATAGTGTCAGCCAATATTGACATCAAATAGTGACAGCCAATATTGACATCAAATAGTGACAGCCAATATTGCCATCAAACAGTGTCAGCCAATATTGACATCAAATAGTGACAGCCAATATTGACATCAAATAGTGACAGCCAATATTGCCATCAAACAGCGTCAGCCAATATTGACATCAAATAGTCACAGCGAATATTGACATCAAACAGTGTCAGCCAATATTGACATCAAATAGTGACAGCCAATATTGACATCAAATAGTGACAGCCAATATTGACATCAAATAGTGACAGCCAATATTGCCATCAAACAGTGTCAGCCAATATTGACATCAAATAGTCACAGCGAATATTGACATCAAACTGTGACAGCCAATATTGACATCAAATAGTGACAGTCAATATTGACACCAAATAGTGACAGCCAATATTGACATCAAATAGTGACAGTCAATATTGACACCTAATAGTGACAGCGAATATTGACACCAAATATTGACAGCCAATATTGCCATCAAACAGTGACAGCCAATATTGACATCAAATAGTGACAGCCAATATTGCCATCAAACAGTGTCAGCCAATACTGACATCAAATAGTCACAGCGAATATTGACATCAAACTGTGACAGCCAATATTGACATCAAATAGGGACAGTCAATATTGACACCAAATAGTGACAGCCAATATTGACCAAATAGCGATAGCCAATATTGACACCTAATAGTGACAGCGAATATTGACACCAAATATTGACAGCCAATATTGACATCAAATAGTGACAGCCACTACTGATACCAAATGTTCACTCTTGCTGGTAACACCAGTTAGCGAAATCAAATAATGACAAAGAATAGCGTTACAAAATGTTCAAGCGAAATATCTGCACCGATAGCGCCACCGAATAGTGGCACCGAATAGTGGCACCGAATGACACGGAATAGGTGACACCGAATAGTGACACCGAATAATGACGCCGAATAGTGATACCAAAAATTTACGCCTAATAGTGACGCCGAATAAGTGACGCCGAATAAGTTACACAGAATAGTCGGGATGGACATGGCTAGTACCTAGCCGAAACCCTAGGTTGTCATGAGTGGCAGATTTGGGGTCATGGGCTGAGTGGTGGGGTTGGAGTTCTGGTTCTGGTAGGGCACGTTGCTGAATCCATGTACTAACATATGTGCAATGATTGGGATGCCTAACGGCTCCTAGCGGGTGCCAGGGCAGCCTTGAAGCTCTCGATTGATGTCGAGTCCACGGCGGCATTGTCCAGGTGGTTCCAAGCAATCACTGTTCATGGGAAGAAAGATTGTTTATATTGGACTGTGTTACACCGAGGCACAGTGAAGCATTTACTATTGTTCCGGATGTAACTGCTCATGGAGTTGTCAGAGGTGAAGTCAGTGTTTATTGAGCATTTGGCTCTGATTAAGTGACCTGCCTTCTGTGGAGTGAGATACGTGTTTTCTGGCATGGCCGGCATTAGCCTCATGACCACTTTATATAAGAATGTTTCTCGGAGCTTTTCGCATCTGTCTTTGGGGGAGGGGATGTCAAATTATTTCAAGAGGCCAGTGACGAAGCCAGGAGTGGTGGATTTGTAGTCACGTGCGTTACGTTGGATTCGCTCCATCTTGTCCACGTCTTACTTTCGGTAGGGATCCCAGATGATCGCACCATATTCTAGTAGTAGACGGACGAGTGCAAAATATGCATTTCGTTTGCTGGAGGTTGGGCAGTGAAGCAGATTTCTTTGAATCAAACCTAGTGTGGAGTTGGCTTTTTGGAAATTTTTTTTATATGGGGTGAACGTTTTAGGTTATTGGAGAAGAGAATTCCAAGGTATGGGTTATTGGATACTTGTTGGAGAATTGTCTCGTTTAGTGAGTACATATAGGTTGATGGTTTTTTCCTAGAGATGCTTATTGTGTAGCAATTGGTTTCGTTAAATTTCATGCCCCATTTGTCCGCCCAATTCATAAGGCACTTAAAATCTGCTTGGAGGTGGTTGTGGACATCGTAGCCATTTATCTCTCTTTAGACAAGACAGTCGTCTGCAAACAGCCTCACTTGAGATTTTACAGCACCAGGGAGGTCGTTTATGTGACAGAGAAAGAGAAGAGGGCCGAGCATTGTGCCTTGAGGAACTCCTGAGTCTACCGTGGCTTTGCCTGATCAGACGCCATCTACCACTACTTGCATGATCCGTTGTGTTAGGAATGTTGAGAGCCAGAAGTGAAGGTCGCCGGTAATGCCGTAGTGGTGGAGCTTGTGTAGAAGAAGGCTGTGTGGAAACAGTATCGAAAGCCTTGGAGAAGTCGAGAATTGACATGTCGACCTGGTTACTGTTGTCATAGCAGGCAGGAGGTCATTGGTGGTGATGATTAATTGAGTTTCTGTTGAGAATCAAGAGCGGAAACCATGGTTTAGGTTTGTCAAAATATTGTAGTGTTCATTGTGATACACGATGTGGCGACAGATGATGTGTTCTAGAATTTTGCATGGAACGGAGAAATCGATAATTAAAGTAAACTACTCTATAGAGAGACCACGCCTTGAATACCACTGAAGTGATTGCTCTGCCCCAACGAATATCCTCATCACTACTTGCCTGTTTTATACTGTTCCGCCCCTTTTCATTTATAATAAACATATCTTAAAAAAACATCAAAACTTGATGATACTAGTACATATTGCCTTTTATGTATTTATACGGATACGATTTTGGCCGTAAATCTGTCCTCTGTTCGTGTTTGTCTTCTCATAGCCCCTTCCGTTGACGCTATGACCACCATCCGGTCGTCGGTCCGACCAGCTGGCAGCAAACAGCCATGGGGGACCATCCTGAAGCCCGAGTTTGGCCTGGGCTACCAGAAGATGACCGAGTATGAGATCGAGCAGACGATTAGCAGGCTAAGTACGTTACCGCCACCAAAGCAAGCGGTGGACGAGAGGCGGGAGAAGAAGATGTCACAGGCTGAGATTCAAACCATGGTGGGTATAGCCCGGGTTCTCGGGTGGGGGGGGGGTGGGGGGTCGGTTGGCCACTTACTATATCACATACATATAGATGATTTGATTACGATAGGGCTACTGTCAGGGCAAGTGTCAGTGTTAGTGTCAGTATTAGTGTTAGGGTTAGTGTTAGGATTAGTGTCAGTATTAGTGTTAGGGTTAGTGTCAGTATTAGTGTTAGGGTTAGTGTCAGTATTAGTGTTAGTGTCAGTATTAGTGTTAGGGTTAGTGTTAGCATTGGTGTTAGGGTTGGTGTTAGTATTAGTGTTAGGGCTAGTGTCAGAATTAGTGTTAGTGTTAGTGTTAGTATTAGTGTTAGGATTGGTGTTAGTATTAGTGTTAGGGTTAGTGTCAGAATTAGTGTTAGGGTTAGTGTTAGGGTTAGTGTTAAGGTTAGTGTCAGTATTAGTGTTAGGGTTAGTGTCAGTATTAGGATTAGGGTTAGTGTCAGTATTAGTGTTAGGGTTAGTGTTAGTATTAGTGTTATGGTTAGTGTTAGTATTAGTGTTAGTCTCAGAATTAGTGTATTAGTGTTGGGGTTAGTGTCAGTATTAGTGTTAGGGTTAGTGTCAGTATTAGTGTTAGGGTTAGTGTCAGTATTAGTGTTAGGGTTAGAGTCAGTATTAGTGTTAGGGTTAGTGTTAGTATTAGTGTTAGGGTTAGTGTTAGTATTAGTGTTAGAGTTAGTGACAGTATTAGTGTTAGGGTTAGTGTTAGGGTTAGTGTCAGTATTAGTGTTAGGGTTAGTGTCAGTATTAGTGTTAGGGTTAGTGTCAGTATTAGTGTTAGGGTTAGTGTCAGTATTAGTCTTAGGGTTAGTGTCAGTATTAGTGTTAGGTTAGTGTTAGTATTAGTGTTAGGATTGGTGTTAGTATTAGTGTTAGGGTTAGTGTCAGAATTAGTGTTAGGGTTAGTGTTAGTATTAGTGTTAGGGTTAGTGTCAGTATTAGTGTTAGGGTTAGTGTCAGTATTAGTGTTAGGGTTAGTGTCAGTATTAGTGTTAGGGTTAGTGTTAGTATTAGTGTTAGGGTTAGTGTTAGTGTTAGTATTAGTGTTAGTGTTAATATTAGTGTTAGGGTTAGTGTCAGAATTAGTGTTAGTATTAGTATTGGGGTTAGTGTTAGTATTAGTGTTAAGGTTAGTGTTAGTATTAGTGTTAAGGTTAGTGTTAGTATTAGTGTTAGGATTAGTGTTAGTATTAGTGTTAGTGTTGTTCTTCTTTATTTTGAGGGCCCACGATCAATGAATTGATCATTCTGGCTCCTATGTTTCAGAGGGGTTTGCGATGTTACTGTGCATGGGTTTCAATGGGATGCTTCACTGGTTGCAAGGGCGACTCAGCCGTGGTGTTACGAATTGGGGGTTGAAATACAGGAGGCAATAGACACAAATGTATCGAGTGTAGCCGCCTCATCTGTTGCTTTTGGAAGTTTGTTCCAGTCCCCTATTGTCTTCGGCAGGAATGAGGAGCTCCTGTACTTTGTTCTTGTTTTTACCAGCCGGAACTGTCTGTCGTGGCTTCGTCGCAGTCTAGGGGGAAGATGAACAAGTTTCTGTTTGATTCCGGAGCAGTAGACCAGCCCATTTTTTTATTTTGTACAACATGGTGAGCCTGGATAGTCGTCGTCGTTCTTCCAATGTAGACCAGCCCAGTGTTTCCAGCATGCTGCCAACACTCGAGGTGCTTCTGTAACGGTTCATGACAAAGCGTGCTGCTCGTCGCTGGACAGCCTCCAACCTGTCGATGCTTTTCTGGGTAAATGGGTCCCAGACTGTAGAAGCGTACTCTAAAATAGGCCGGACAAAGGCTTTATAAGCTTTTTCTTTCACGCTTGAGTTTCTGATCTTATCTTCAGATTGCGCCTTAGGAACCCCAGGGTCTTGTTTGCCTGGTTGCACATACTGTTAATGTGCTCGTCCCAGCGGAACTCTCTTTGAATGGTAACACTCAAGTACTTTACGGAGGAAACTTGCTCAAGAATATGACCATGCAGTTCGTAAGAGTGGTTTAGAGGGAATCTGCTTCTGGAGACTGACAGGGTCTGGCATTTGACGGGATGAAATTCCATGTCCCAGCTCATCTCCCACTCAGCTAACCGATTGAGGTCTTGTTGAAGCTGGCTCTGGTCAGAGCTGTTGACGATTGTTCTATATACCGCCGTGTCGTCTGCGAACAGTCTTGCTTGAGAGGTCAGCTTCTCGGGCAGATCATTGATATATGCTAGGAACAAACAAGGGCCTAGCACTGAGCCCTGGGGGACCCCTGACTTAACACCGACAAAGGAGGAGGTTTTGCCATCTACCACTACTGCCTGACATCGGTCGCTGAGGAAGCTAGAGATCCATGTTTTGGTGGTGCCTTGGATCCCATATCTATGCAGTTTGTGTAATAGCAAGCTATGGTTGACAAGGTCAAACGCTTTTGAAAAGTCCAGCACAAGCACATCAGTCTGTTTGCTGTTCTCCAAGTTGGCCGTCAATTCTTCAGCACATTCAAGGAGTTGGGTCTCGCATGATCTGTTGACTCGAAAGCCATGCTGACAGTCATTGAGTATATTTTGTCTTTCCAGGTGATTCATGACCGCGCTTACGACTATGTGCTCCAATAGTGTTAATATTAGTGTTAGGGTTAGTGTCAGAATTAGTGTTAGTATTAGTGTTGGGGTTAGTGTCAGTATTAGTGTTAGGGTTATTGTCAGTATTAGTGTTAGTGTTAGTTTCATGGCTAGTGTTAGGGTTAGTGTCCGGGCTACTGTTAGGATTAGAGTTAGTGTCAGTGTTAGTGTTAGGGTTAGTGTTAGTGCTAGTGCTATTTGCGTAAATAAGACAAGTTATGTTTTATTTCATGTACGAATTGAATGTTTTTAAACACCAAAACCAACTGATAAATGCCCCGTAAACAAAACAAAAAAAAAAAAAAAATGACCCCTTAGCAGAGGCAGGATCCTTACAAGTTATGTTTTATTTCATGTACGAATTAAATGTTTTTAAAAACCAAAACCAACTGATAAATGCCCCGTAAACAAAAAAAAAAAAAAAAAAAAAATGACCCCTTAGCAGAGGCAGGCTCCTGAGATTCAGTGGCGTAGCGAGGGTGCTGGCGCCCGGGGACAAGATTCGCGCCCGGGGACAAGATCCATTTTAAAGCGCCCTCTTTTCTTTTTTTCAACTCTCAAACCCAATAATTTTTACCAATAATATAATATCAAATAACATTTTGGCGCCCCTAACTAGCTTGCGCCCGGGGACATCTGTCCCCCCCTGCCCCCCCCCATCGCTACGCCTCTGCTGAGATCAGAACTGTTTGTATTGATTAGCGAATGCGCCACTAAGGCAGTTGTGTAAATCACTTTGGCAGAGTTTAAGGAAAGTAAGCCGTTCGATATCGACCCCTGGAATCAGCTCGGGTGAGGGGGGAAGGAAGAGGGGTAGAGGTTGAGGGTGGGTGGAAATCACTTACGAACTTGGCGTTAGCAGTGTTGGAATCAGAAAGATTAAACTAATTTATGGTTGTGTGTGTGTGAGTGAGCGTGTGTGTGTGTGTGTGAGTGTGTGAGTGTGTGTGTGTGTGTGTGTGTGAGAATGAGTGATGGTTTGGAGGAAGAGATTCTGACATTATACTAGTGTAGTTGAATTACTTATTTGATTTGTACTATTAAAACAACCTGCTCAAGATATATGAGCCCAAAAATCTTCAAGAAAGAATGAATTCCTTGGCAAATTTTATCTATTGAAAACAATATTGCAAAGAAAATAAATATAGAAAGTGCAATAAAAGGATTTGCTGATCTAAAGGCTAGGGGGAAAAATGTCATCGATAGGCTAATTGTTCATACTGTCCACAGTAGGCTAATTGTTCATACTGTCCACGGTAGGCTAATTGTTCATACTGTCCACGGTAGGCTAGTTGTTCATACTGTCCACGGTAGACTAATTGTTCATACTGCCCAAACACAGGTTAAGTAACATAATATTGCCTCAAGCCTTCAAACCCCTAGTGCATGATTCCCTCACAAAGTGACACTGGAAATCAGTGAAATTTCCTCATCAACACAAGTAATAGAAACATTGCACATCCCATCTACATGCATAGGAGCCAAAATGATCAATAAATTGATCGTGGGCCCTTAAGATACAGAAGAAGAAGATACTATTATTGTTCATTGTTTGTTTTAAAACAAAAACAGCCTATGAAATAAACTCATTACCTAACCCTTAGTTTCTTCCTTGCAAACATTGCTATGATTATACTTAAAAGGGGCGCCAAATATAAGCTTTCCCGGGGCGGCAGCAAGCGTAGAGCTGGCCCTGATGACATTCATGGCTAGATACATTTATGACACGCAAATGTTCGGATAATCTACCATGCCATGACTGGCTTATGGTTTTAGTAACTATCATTTAGAACAATTTCAAGATCATCATCTTCATGCTCCACTCCTGTACTTTGCTCTATCTCCTCCGACGTGTCCAGATGGACCGGCTGACCAAGGCTGACAAGACCAAGATCCCGGAAAGCGACAGACGAGTCGTGGCTTCAGCCTACGGTAACATGGGCGTTGTCTGTTCCTACGCCTGGAGGGGCTACAACTGACTCGTTGACCGGCGTACAGTGGCAGAGACAGCATCTGCGTCATAGGTCGTCATGGTGCGACTATACAAGCGTCACGTCATTCATAATACACATATGTTTTTTTGTTGTTGTTGTAAAGTACGCTGTAGGAGAGTTGATGTATCTCTTTGTGGTATCCACACTCTCGTTTGATTTTAACGTAACACGTGTATAGACTCTGCTCAGAAAATCTGTCTCTTCTTAGTTATACAGTCATTACAGACTGATTACTCAATTAGACACGACCACCGGGGCTGTAAGATGAGGAAGGGGTGGGGGGTGGTTCCAACGTCAAGGGGCGCCAAAATCGTCAAAGAGCCACATATGTATATAGAGTTTGGGCGGCATTTTCAGGCTTCGTCCTTTTGTACCAGGCACAGTCTTTCCTTAGTCCCAGGCACAGTGTTTCCTTCACCCCAGGCCCAGCCTCCTTCACACGGCCTTGACAACCACATGAAAATCTATTCAAAACAGTAAACAACGTTACATGTAAAATGAAGACATAAATTTGGGGTTGGAAAAAAGAAAGGGGGGGGGGGGGTGAAAACAAAAAAAAACAAAAAACTTTTAAAATTAAATTTTTTATTCAAAACAGTAAACAACGTTACATGTAAAATGAAGACATAAATTTGGGGTTGGAAAAAAGAAAGGGGGGGGGGGTGTAAACGAAACATAACTAAAAACTTTTCAAATTACATTTTTTTCTTTAACATATGAAGAGCTAAATAAACAAAACTCTGAAGCGGCACAAACACCATTTACGTGTGTAAAGATAAGATATTTAATGAACTGGACAAAAAACAAGCCGGCACCATATTTTTTTAAATGAGATTTTATTTTTTTTAATTTAGTGTATCGTACATATTCCTACCCCCAAATACAGTGGAATATTTTTTACAAAGAAAAGTAAACTTAAAAATTTGCTTTAATAACCACACGAACGTGATAGTGAGTTCAATACAGACAACTTCAACTTGACAAACATCACAGTGACGTGTCATTCTAAATTATTGTGTAAATAAACGATAAATTTAGCAAACAACTTCCTGGTTTAATGTTTCTTTAACTTTGATTTTTAACACATTTATTCCATCTACCATACAATCCAGACATCAAATATTTTATATAAGCCATATATCGATACATCACAACTTCAATATAACAATGATATCCACACACCATAACTTCTATATAACACTTACATCCTCACATCACGACTTCTCTTAAATCCTCATATCCATACATCACGACTTCTATATCACACCGATATCCACACATCACAACTTCTATATAACACGTGCATCCATGCATCACATCTTCTACATAACAATTATTTACACACATCACAACTTCTATACAACCCATTTATCCATACATCATATAAATGCACACAAATTATAAAACCAATGGCAGCTCACCAACTACAGCTGTCCATTCTTCAGGAGTCCCAATTAATCCAACACAGCCGATCTTTTCGCGAACAAGTTCACATTTAATTTCAATGCGCACACCATAACAGCATTGTGGGCTGTCAAAGATGGACGGTGGAACTAAAAATAATCTCTGAAACTTTTACATGCGCAAAAAAAAAAAAAAAAAAAAAAAAAAAAAAATAAAAAAAAAAAGAAAAAAAAAAAAAAAAAAAAAAAAATAAAAAAAAAAAAAAAAAAAATCAAAATATAAGACAAAGAACAATAGAAAAAAAGTTATCTCAACACAAACAAAAAAAAAAAAAAAAAAAAACAAAAAAAAAAAAAAAACAACAAAAAACCCCCCAAAAAACAAACAAACAAAAACATAAACAATTGGTCTTTTGTTGTTTTATTCACATTGAACAGTTTTGAAATGTTTATATATATATATATATATATATATATATATGTATAATTTAAATGACGTGATATGACTTAAAATAGTAAGGGGAAAAAAAAGAAGAATATAATTGCGTCAATTGGGGTTTATCGTGCTATAGTAAAGCTACATCATATGGTACGCCCCTGTCACATATTAGGGAGGCGTTGTAGGAACGCCCCTTTATGATCCAATTTGCTAATTATCTCATCTTATTTACTTTTGTTAGCGTCCTAGCCCTTCTTTTCATACAAATTTGTCTTTGATCCATCTTTGAGCCACCTTTGCGTTTAGAGAGACGTGTTTGGTCGAAAATGCTAATGCAAAAATGGACTTCATTTAAACTGAGTTGTCCTACTTTAAACCAAAAATACTTGATTGAAAAGTTAAACAGAAGGAGACGCTCCATCCCCAGTTTGTAATATATTCATCAAGTCTTCTCACTTCGCACTCGCCCGTCTCCTCGGGTCTCAAAGTCGCTATCAGTTTATCTCCGCGAGTGAACGAGTAGAAGCAGTGCTAATGGTGACAAATTTCTGACTTAATGCGCTCGGTCGGAAAGCGTAGCTCATAACAAACAGACGGCTAATCAGGAGGCGTCCCCCGAGGGGGGCCCCATCGGAGCGGTCCTTCTGCATCCAGAACCACGTGTCCCCCTACGGGACCGCCGAACCGATATGGTTAGCATCACAATGACCGGGGGCGAGGGTGGGGGGCATCTCCAAGGTGGCGCTCACGTCACGTGACCGTGTCATTGTGAGGACTGAGGTAATGGCCACCGTCTCGGAGGGACGGCACTCGACCGTCTCAAAAAACTTTGCGAGTACCATTAGCGTCTCGCGAATCGCGAAATATGACGCGCTGCGGTCAATATTGTGGGGATAAATAGTTGGCGGGCGGGCAATGAAGTTATCCTTACTTCCCCTCAAAGCGTGGTCTCCGAGGACCCCCGCGCGTTCGGCGTGACTTCGCGGCCCGCACGCGCGTCTGAGACAATCTTTGCTTAACGCAGTTAGACCCTAAGTCTTTGGAGCAAAGGGGGGGGGGGGAAAAAAATCGACCCTAGTTTGTACTTTACGCTTATGACAGCTATGTTTGTAAGAAACTTGCATAATAAATGACTTCAACTAATCACCGTTTTGACTAAATGCTTAACGCAGTTAGACCCTAAGTCTTTGGAGCAAAGGGGGGGGGGGAACAAAAACGACCCTAGTTTGTACTTTACGCTTATGACAGCTATGTTTGTAAGAAACTTGCATAATGAATGACTTCAACTAATCCACGTTTTGACTAAAGCAGACAATTCGTGCCATGACGTCATTTACGTGTTTATTTAACGTAAAAGGTTTAGAGTTTAGGGATAGGTTTGGGGTTAAGGCAAGGTTTTGGGATAGGTTTAGGGTTACGTTTAGGGCGACCTTTCACGGGTAGTGGCAACCAACATAAAGGCCGTGGCTCTGATTGTCTAAATTTACCAAATTTTTAAAAATGTTATTTAAAAAAAAAAAGGTTTAAACAGAAGTCAAAAATATTTTAGGACTCCAATCAGTCTCCACCCCTCCCATCCCCCCCCCATTATCGTCTGGATCAGTTCAGCCATATTCGTAAGTCACCAACGCGAGCAGGGAACTCTCCAAGCGCCCGAGCAGACCGAGACCAATTGACGAGGGCTCCGTAATACCAGAATATGGAATAAGGTTTTCTTGGTGACGGGGATCCCGGCTCGCGCCAGATTTCGTCCCTCTAGGGCTCCTACCCGCGTTTATGTATGCACCTCAGGAGGGCTGGATTCTCGGCCTGATGCCGGGCCCGGTGGCTCGGACTCCCTCGCGCGCTATCGGGGATCTCCGGCTGAACGCGTTACCCAATCCCACGCACGTCCCAGAAGAAGTTTGCGTGTTTTACAATTTGCATCTGTGAGCAGATTAACGGTTTGAACCGGGTGATTGACAAAGCGCCCGGGTGATTGGGTTAGATGGGTGGAAGAACAGCGTCATCTCGTGTTTGGTTACTGATAAACCACGGGTGGTTCTTGTAAACGGTTGTAGTCGGGAACGTTGTTTAAAAAATAAAAAAATTAAAAAGTGTTGGACTGCTATAAAGCTTTAAATTAGATTAATTAGACACGAACAATTTGTGTCAGAAGGGCAGTACATGTTAAGCTTTAATAATAACTCTGCATAACGCACAAGTAGACGTTTCGGCATATGCCTTCATCAGTACAACATACAAACAATTCAATAAGTATAAATTAAATTTAAATAATATATACACATATATCCTACCTAAAAAAATAGAGAAAAATTGGAGTGGGTGCAAAAAATCATATAGAAACAAAGTAAAGAAGAATGGAAAGGAAGTGACTTGGAGTAAAATGTAACCACACCAAAAAAGAAAAAGGAAAAAATTTAAAAAAAAATTGGAAAAAGACATGGCAGTTACGTAAAATTGTAGATTAGATTTATCCCGTATGGAGTCAACGTACCCAATCTTGTTATTAATTTATTTTCCCTTTAGATCCTATCCCACGTGTTAGTAGTAAACAGTATACTAGTAACTGGGATGTCTAACATTCCATCATGGTTAGTGTTACCGGTATTGAAATGTTTTTTAAGGTAGTTTTGGGTAGGGAAAATGAGAGAGGGGACTGATCAGGGATTGATTTTGTGAGAGAGGGCCCTGGTCGGTGATTGGGGATGTGAGAGAGGCGATTGGTCGGTGATTGGGGATATGAGGGAGGCGATTGGTCGGTGATTGGGGATGTGAGGAAGGGCCCTGGTCGGTGATTGGGGATATTAGGGAGGCGATTGGTCGGTGATTGGGGATATTAGGGAGGCGATTGGTCGGTGATTGGGGATATTAGGGAGGCGATTGGTCGGTGATTGGGGATATTACTGGTTGTATCTGTGTTACTATTCTAATGTGTGGTTTTTCATTTTTATTTGATTTAGCAGTATAAACACTTTGCATATTTTTAATAATTGTAAAGTGCTTAGAGCTGTAAGGTAAGCGCTACAAAAAAAAAAATGCCTAAATTATAATAATAATATGAGGAAGGGGACTGGTCGGTGATTGGGGATGTGAGGGAGGGGATTGGTCGGGGATTGGGGATGGGAGGGGGGGGATTGGGCGGTGATGGGGGATGTGAGGGAGGGGACTGGGCGGGGATTGGGGAGGGGGGGGAGGGTTGAGGGAGGGGATTGGTCGGTGATTGGGGATGTGAGGGAGGGGATTGGTTGGTGATTGGGGATGTGAGGGAGGGGATTGGTCGGTGATTGGGGATGTGAGGGAGGGGACTGGTCGGTTATTGGGGATGTGAGGGAGGGCCGTCGTCGGTGATTGGGGATGTGAGGGAGGGCCGTGGTCGGTGATTGGGGATGTGAGGGAGTAAAAAGTTTGGGGATTTATTATTTAAAAAATCAATTTTTTAAAAACTTAACAAATGAACCAAAAATAAATGCATCCATCATCTAGTAGCCACACGGACACATCTAGTAACCACACGGACACATCCAGTAACCACACGGGCACATCCAATAACCACACAGGCACATCCAGTAAACACACGGACAGATCTAGTAACCACACGGACACATCCAGAAAACACACGGACACATCCAGTAAACACACGGACACATCCAGTAACCACACGGACACATCCATTAAACACACGGACACATTCAGTAAACACACGGACACATCTAGTGACCATACGGACACATCTAATAACCACACGGACACATCTAGTAAACACACGGACACATCTAGTAAACACACGGACACATCTAGTAACCCCACGGAAACATCTAGTAAACACAAGGACACATCGAGTAACCGCACGGACACATCTAGTTACCACACGGACACAACCAATAAACACACGGACACATCTAGTAAACACACGGAAACATCAAATAAACACACGGTCACATCTAGTAAACACACGGACACATCTAGTAAACACACGGACACATCTAGTAACCCCACGGAAACGTCTAGTAAACACACGGACACATCCAGTAACCGCACGGACACATCTAGGTACCACACGGACAATCCAGTGAACACACAGACACATCCAGTAAACACACGGACACATCTAGTGACCACACGGACACATCTAGTGACCATACGGACACATATAATAACCACATGGACACATCTAATAACCACATGGACACATCCAGTAAA